CTCTCTCTCTCTCTCTCTCTCTCTCTCTCTCTCTCTCTCTCTCTCTGTTTCTATATATATACATACATATAGAGACAGAATATCTCTTCACATTAATTTCACATTAATTTGTATACGTAAAATGTATAGAAGAGAATAATATATATTTAAAAAAAAATGATAAGTATATGTATTTAGAAAGAATCTTTAAACAAAATATTGAATTATAGATTAGATTGTCATGAATTTACTTTATGAGATAAATATCGACTATACCGCGAATGTTAATGTTATATATTTGAATTAACATATGAATATTACGAATGTATATGAATGTTAACAAGTGTTTATTGTCCTTTTAAACAAATGTATCGTACATGTATCGTGCAACGTACATGTATCTAAATATTGGTTATCTAGATTTTAGGTTATGTTACTTTCACTAACACTTGTTTATTAATGTATTACAATGTACAAAAGATAACGTGTTGATAACAAAGCAATTACTGCGTATCTAGAAGAAAATATGTACGTATAACAATAAACGATATAACTTCTATTCTGCATTTTATAAAAAGGAGAAATCGCACGAGTTCTCCAGCACATATGTACATCAGCTGATTCTCCCACTCTCTCATTTTTCAACAGACAGTGTACTCGAATCGACACCGACTAGAATCTAGTCACTAGATAATAGAATTGGCTACGTCGACGTACTGTTTTTTCCAACATTGTCAATAAAGAAATCATCGAACAACGACAACATCGTGAAAACTAATGGCAAATCATGAAATTGTCAGATCGAAAAGGTACGACTCCAAACAATTTCACATTCGTAACTGACAATCGTGTTTTTGAGTTTTTTAATTTAAACTTTCATTAATTTTCCTGTGCGTTTCGGCGACGTCGAGACACAACGTCACCCACAATGTATCATAATTTCGTCATGATACGTCATTCACGATTGCACCATCTTCTTGTTTTCAAGATTTAAATTAAAAGGTCTCGACGCGCGTTTTAACGTTGATGATAGAAATTATCAATGTAATCAATAGATTTATAAATATTATTTATAAATACCGCGTATATAGAAATATCCTGACACGTTAGATGCATAAGAAGAAAAATGACTATGGAACTCGAGGAATTAACTGTGTTATGTTGGATTGCATTTCAAGGCCACGTGCCAAACAATTTTAGCAAGAAGAATCATAACCAAAAAAAATAAATAGTTAATCCAATTTCAAATTGTATTTTGCGTGCAAACACGTAGGTAATTTCTTTCTTAATTTACGCATTAAAAGTTTTCAGAATTGATACCGCGCAAATTTCATATTTATCGCATGTCAAGATTACAAATTGTATAATATGAAGCAATTTTTCAAGTTCACTGTCATTCAAATCATCTTACATTTGTGAAATTGCACTTCAACAGTATTGAAAAGAAAAAAAATATAGTACAATGAAATGTAATCAATGAATTATATATTATATAAATAAAATCCTTTTTGAATTAATCTTTTAATAATTAATATTGATTTTACGTAATTAATACTGCCATAAAAATGTAATTTTAAAAATATATAATAACGCAATGTAAAGTTTATGTAAAATTTAGAAATTTTTCATTTATTCATAGAAAATAATTTTCATTCATAAAAAATAGTTTTTATTTGTTATTGTTAGCTGGTTTTGGGAATGGTTTAACTGGTCTGGCTCATCTTCAACTATGTTACGTGCTGCGGAGAAGAAAATTCTTTCTTGTAAGTTACTTTATTAAACCTTTATTCACTTAGTGAATTGTGAATTTTAGTAATATCTTGTTTGAATTGCATTTCATAAATTTTATTTCAAATAGAACATTGATCATATAACTTAATAAATATTATATTTTGATGATGTAGGTTTAAGAACTGCATATCGAGGGTGGTATGTAGACATAGGACCAGTTGTAGGAACATCAGATAAAATATGGACCATTTCCTTAAATGAAGAATCATCAAAGACACCAATTGTTTTGTTGCATGGTTTAGGAGCTGGTGTAGCATTATGGTGTTTAAATCTTGATGCACTGGCTTCTCATAGGCCAGTGTATGCAGTTGATATATTAGGTAAAAAATAGAAAGAATCATAATTTTATTAAAAATCTTATGACATAGTCTTTATTTTTCATTTATATTACATCCAATTATGTTTTAAAACAAGAAATCAGACGTTGTCCTGAGATATAATTTTAGATCTTAGAGTACAGTACGTATGACTCATAGATGACTAAGATTGAACTTTGGAATTATGTACAATTTATGAAATAAGTGATATTGCATATTTTTCAAACATTGACAATTCACTATCACTAGATTTATTTTATTTATATTTATTTTATCATGTAATCACAAATTACTCTTAAATTATATTTTGGGCATTATAATGTGCAATTGTATTTTTATCTGCTTCATATTTTATATAAAAGTCAATTCTTGTTATCCAGGTTTTGGAAGAAGTAGTCGTCCTGTTTTTAGTAATGAAGCACAAGAAGCTGAAAGTCAATTGGTTCGTTCTATTGAGGAATGGAGAAGGGAAATGCAATTGGAAAAATTTGTGCTGTTAGGCCATTCAATGGGTGGTTTTCTTGCAGCATCATATAGTATGCAATATCCCGAAAGAATTAAGCATCTGATTCTTGCTGATCCTTGGGGATTCCCTGAAAGACCTGTAGAACGAATTTCCAGAGCTCCTATGTGGGTAAAAGTTATAGCATATATAATGGAACCGTTAAATCCATTATGGCCAGTTAGAGTAGCTGGTCCATTTGGTTAGTTTTTATTTTAATATATCTTTATATTTCAATTTTTAAGATATAAAATTTTCTATTATCTTATACATAATTATACAACATACACTATTTTACATAAGGTGTACATATATTATTAAGTAATATATAAAATATTACTTTTTTAGGACAGTGGCTAATTGAAAAAACGAGGCCAGATATAGTAAAAAAATTTTCACCTGTATTAAAAGATGATACTGCTGTGATTTCACAGTATTTGCATCAGTGTAATGCTCAAACACCATCGTAAGTATTAAAAATTTGAAACATAAAAAAAAGATCTTCGCGCTGACTTTTCCGAACTTGACTGAAATTCCAATAAAAATTATTTTCATATGATTTAAATATAAAGTATAAAAGTTAATTTTTCACATTTTCAATAAAAAGTGGTGAGAGTGCGTTTCATGCAATGATGCAACATTTTGGTTGGGCCAAAAATCCTATTGTCAGAAGAATGGATAAATTAAGTCCAGAAATTCCTATAACTCTTTTGTATGGTAGTCGATCTTGGGTCGACAATTCTTCTTGGGAAACACTTAAACATGCTAGATCATCGTCATACATTAATGTTCAGGTAAGAACATAAAGAAAAAAGTAAAAATGTTAAAATTTTAATAACAAATTTTAAGTTATTTTCATGGTATATTTTTATGGATTACAGGCAATCACAGGAGCAGGACATCATGTTTATGCTGATAAAAGTGAAATTTTTAATAAATATGTATTAGAAGCATGTAATCTAAGTGATTCGATACCCCATTTAACAGTATCAGATATTCGTTCAAACATTAAGACCATAAATGAGCAACAAATTTCACTTATCTTAGCAAACGAGCAAGTTGATTCTAAGGCCGTGCAAGAACAGGAATTAAATACGCCGCAAACACGATCTAGTTAAAATTGTATTGTTACATCGTATTTCTTTGACTTTAAAATACAGTTGGGCAAACTGTATGACTTATGTGATTTAGATTAGATATATATGTACAGCGACATACCAAACAACAATCGCGTGTTAATATTATTGTACCATTTAATTTATGTTTATAATTTTTAAAGTTGTTTTAAACATAACAGTACTCAATTATTAATTTAGCTTCATTAGCCCATGTTTTCGAACATTGAATGTTGAAGTGTCAAATTTTTTCATAAATTCCAATTTTTTCGGATGACTATAGATATACTTTATGAACATTGGATGACTATAGATATACTTTATGAACATTGGAAGAAAAAATAATAGTACAACGTTCGGAATTTTTTTTAAATGCTCGTAATTAAATAATCACAAATTAAATATATATTATCAAAATTAAATTAAATCAATGGGATCAATCATTTGGATGATTATTGCAATAAATTGTCATAAATTTAGGGGGAAGTTGAATTGTACAAATGTAATATAAAATAAAATTAACCATGTTGAAATAATACTAATTTTTTAACTTTCATGTAAAATAAATACGCTAAATTTATACTCTTAATTTTCTATTACTATTTTTTGTTAAATTCTTCATCAATATCATCATTACAATTATAAAAATCATCATAATCATCTTCGGTAAACTCATGATTTTTTTCAAAATCATTATCATCATTATTATCAACAGCATCATCTACGTCAAAACGTTTTTTCATTTTTTTTCTTTGTTCTTTTCGTCTTTGATTTAGAAATTGCTTGAATTCGTCTTGCCATTCCTTATTAGTTAAAAAATTGAACTTATCTTTTACATCTAATGTAGAAAATGTATTCAAGGTTGGTATACTTAATGTTTGTTCCTCTGTTTTTTTAAATTTATTTAACGAAGATTTTATCTGCGTAAGAGGAAAATTCTTAAATATTACATTGTCAATTCTAATAGTTATACATGTATAATATATATATATATATATATATAATACATATATATATATATGTATATATATATACCTTTGACATAATTTGGAAATGATCTAATCCAAATACATCATGTTTCATTACTGGTACAATAACTTTAAAGTTATCATCTTCATCATTCTGTACATCTTCATTATTGTCACAGATTTTAGAGGCACTAACAATATGGTGTATGGCATTTGGATATGGAGTAGACACATGATTTTTGTCAAATTCCAGAGTTTTCAGTTTCTCTTCTACTTCCCTTAAAACATTTATGCCTTTACATTTGACAAACTGAATAGGAGGTACCATGCCTATGACCCGAAGTTGAGACAGCTTATGCCTCAAGGTAAAAGCACAATGATTCAATAGTTCTTCTGTGTTAGATTTCTCTGTACTATTATTTGTCCAATATATATTAATGAGCTTAAAATCAACAGTTATTCTAACGTGAGTAATTTCTATATTCCTATCTAAAATTTCGGTACTTATTTCTCCAGTCGACATCAAATCTGTAATATGTTCCATAAAAACTTTATTTAGGACATTTATCCTCCGTATTGTATATACAGAAAGTTTATTCTTCAATGAATGAGAATATATATTTTCGATTGATTCCCTATTTAAAAATAAAATTTAATTAAGAAATTACCTTTTAAATTCAAAAAAATTAATAAGTAACAAATGAAATCTACATCTACTTAGAAAATGTAAAATACACTACCTGTTCCTTTTGTTTTTTTCTATAAGTTTATTTATTATTTTGCTTTGTTTTGATATGTTATATTTTATGCTATTAGTACAAATACATCTAAATATTTGTTTTATTCCCATATTTTGCATTCTGACAATAAAAATGTATTTACCTTAATATAATAATGTTTATTGAAAACATTAATTTATGTATTATTTCACATAATATACATAATTATGAAACGAAGATTTCTCTTCTAAGAAAATAATATAAAATTATTAGATTTACAATAAACTGATGCTTGTTGATGAATCTTGTGAATTTTTTGAGGTTATGTATTTTAATAGTACCTTTCAAATATAACTTACTAGTTAACTAATTTACTAAAATAAATTAGTGTCTTTATTGTTTGAATAACGCAAGTTTCTATAACTTAATTTTATAAATCAGAAACATATAACTATTATTAGAGAGAAATTGCATAATTATTTCCTAGTTTTTTAAGCTATGAATTTTTTGAATATGAGTTTTCTTAGATATGAAATTACTTGTAATTGTTATTTATGTTCATAATACTAGATTAAAATTGTATAAATAAAAAGAAAAATTACAATTATCAAAATTTTTTGTTTTAATATCCTTACTACATGAAATTATGAATAATTAGATTATGTATATATATTCGTTAGAAATTTAATCTAAAATTTGAAAATTATGCAGAATGTATATAATACACAAGAATATGTAAAACATCGAAAATAACATATAAAATTCTGACTTTTATTTTTCTAATTTTTGAATTACAGTACTATATACACATAAACTATTTAATAATTCTTATATGCCAATAAAACTCTTTACAATTTCCTTTTTATTTAAAAGAAGTCGTTAGAGGAACTGCCATAAATGTGTAATGAGAAACAAAATCTCTTCATAAAATAATCCTAGCTCGAAAACGTTGCAAATACATCATTTGTGTTATAAATTGTCATGTGTAATAATGATAATGAAAATATTATTATTACAATTACATTACGACTTCCGAAAAATTGACTGTTTTCTTTCACTTACAAATTTTGTTATAAATTTCTTGGACAAACGAGATTTTTCTTTTTTAAATCTTAAATTATTTAAATATCATTCTAATTTTAATAATAATAATGTTATTACCGTAATTTAACATATATTGTTGACAATAAAAAAAAACAAATTTAATGAGATCAAATGTCAAATTTGAATCAAAAAGAATTCTTACATCCTAATCTTACATACCTAGCCAGATGTGATCGGAAATTGAAAAAGTTTCAATTCGCGGAACGAATCATATCTCGAAAAATGTGAATAACTTATTATAATCAAAAGATCAAACTACTCCATATATATATTCATACATTCATTCTCCGTGTATGTGTGTATATATATATACATATACACATACATCACACATATATTCGATATATACGATACATATATATCAGATAATCGTATATTTAATTAAATATCACCCAAATCGTATTTGCATACTTCGAGCATTCGACTGCTTTTGTAACATGCTTATATCTATTGGTAAAATTTCTTTAACGTCTATGGCCGTAACTCTTACAAATTCATCATATATTATACATAAAATAATATACAAAATAAAGCAATATCTACGCGTATCTCAAATATCTGTTGGTTTTACAGAAGTCTTTGTAAGAGATCTAAAGAAATTTTGTTAACAGAAATTATTTAGTACCATTTAGTACCATAAGTTAATACAGTATAGTTAGTATAGTAAGTTAGTACAGTATTATTCATGCAGTCTTTCATGCATAGATTTTATAAAACTAAAGTTGAAGTACCTACTAAATTAATTAAATTAATAAATTTTTCGGCATATACAGATTAATAGACTTTTATAGAGAATGTCGAGTTGCATCGATTAAAAAAAATATATTCATGAATCAAAAAAAATATATCCATTTAAAAAATTGAAAATAATCTTGATATTTCCAAAACTCCTTTACCTACAAAAAAATCATTACTGCCATATTATGACCTTTGTTTTTACTCAATAAAATTTTTTTATATATCCAAAAACAATAGAGACATTTGAGATGAACATAACTATTGGCTTACCCTGTATATAATTTTAAAGATACTATGTAATTTTATTAAAATATCACTGATCAATGATATTCATAAAAGTCAGAATCATTTCCAGTGTAATACGAGAATCGAACAATTCATTTATAATAATCAATCGATAGATGGGTAATATATTTTCCATATTTTCTCTATTAACAATGATATTGTAATAATAGAATACTTACATAACGAAAATATAATATATTATAGAATGTTTAAAATTGAACTAAAATTAAAAAGAGCTAAGAAAATGCCCAAATTATCCTTTTTACATTGTGAAATTGTTTCCTTTAAAACAACGTTTAAAACATGTTTGTTTCAATTGAATTCATTGAAATAATAAAAAAGAAAGACCACTGGAAGTATAACTCTGGCTTTACTTAATATAAGATTGTCGTATTCTTATGTACGATCAGGTATTATACGGCCTTTTTTTTCTGTTTATGATCATACCTGAGAACATTTCATTTATTTTAAACCACACAGCCACGAAACAAAAATTCGACCTCGGTTTTGATTAATTAATTAATTCTGTTTTTTTTTTTATTCAATGGAAACGAAAACATCTCAAAAAGAAAAAAAATGTTTTCCTTTCTTTACCCATATGTTCCAATAAGTTATTTAAATTGTTATATTCATTTATTGATTTTGCGTACGTCGTTCGCCAATTATGTTTTCTAGTTTACGCGCGACAAATGCAGTTGTTTTCTTGATCGGAGATGTTCCTTCTGACATCTCCACGTCGGTATCATCCGATAAAAGTCGCTTGCCGACAGATCTCTTCGGATCAACAGAAATCATCATTTTGTTAATAGCCTCTAAATCCTACAAAACAAAGACTTAGTTATAAATGTAATTATTCAAATTTGATAATAAAATTTTAATCTATTATTTAGAGATATGTAACTTTGATTTACCTTAGCAGGACTACGACTAAAACAGTAACTAAGTTGTGGTGCTGGAGAAGCTGAAATAGCTTTTGGATCTAATGTACGTGTCATAATGCTATTGGTGACACGTCTCACCGGTGAACTTGCGGGAGGTTTCCCTTTTGGTAGTGGACTTAATGATAAATTCATTACACTGCCGCGTGTCAACCCCAATTTATTCGCCACTTCTTTCACCTGTGGCACGTATACTGTATTGTAGAATTTAATTAAATCACCGCGTGTTTCTTCGCCAAAATTTTGCGAAGTTCCAGCCATGTTTGTGGGTGTAGGCGGTGCCACATTAGTTTCTTTGTCAGATACATTTTTCTCTCCGACTTCTTCGTTATTTTTCTGTGATTCCCCAGATGGTGTCTTGACTATAAGTACTGATCTATATATGTGAGACTCTGCCTGCGGTTGTAACCGGTAACATCGCATAATTTCAGTGAATGAATTTTTCTCCATTTTTGCCAATTTACATATCACGTAAATTGCACACATTAAAATTTGATCCAAGTGGCGATCCTTCATCAATTCTGTTCGTTCTTTGATGGAGTATTCAAAGATCGTCCATATTTTTTTCTTTAAATCGGTGTCCATTATTTCTAATGATCCGCATAAATCTAGCATGCGTACGCTAGCTAAATTATAGAATTTTCGGAAAAATAGAGCGACGGAACCAGTTCGTTTTGGTTTTGTTGACTCTCTATTAACTATCGTTTGCATCGACGTAGTTGTAGACTGTGCACTAATTGATCTTGGAACTTCAGGTAAAAGAAGTATTCTCGAATTGCTGTCGATGGTTAGAACTTTCGATGGTAAAATGCTTTGACCTGTTACACGTAAAACGCTCTGTCCACAAATCCTAGCATCAGGGAATAAACGTTTTTTAGCTACACCACATGCTGCAACTGGGGATTGAAATCTTTCTGAGGCAGAAGAAATAGGGCTTTGTTGCACATCGTAATGAGTACCACGGTCCAAAGCGATTCTTCTTAATACTGGCTGTCCCGGAATATTCGGATCAACAATTTCCAACATACCGGGTAAAGAAACTTCTTCGCAGCTTGGTACACCTTCTGGCGTAGATTGAATGGCACCCCACAAAGGACTATCACTTCGCCAAGCAAGTGACTCCAGAATCTTTTCCTCTATTTGATTTAAATGCTTTACAACATCACGGGATAATTGTTCTTCCGCTCTAACTATAATTTCTATCACTTTATAGAAATAATAGGCATCTAAATTCAAAGCGTTCAAAATCCAAGGGAAGATCTTATCATTACTTTTGTACGAGTAAATTACTATCTCTAGGCAACAAGCAAATAAGCATTGAATAAAGATTTCTTTCATCAGAAGATTCTATAACATACCAACATATCAAGATATTATTTATCTACTGATTAATTTTATTTACTTTTTAAACGATTAATTAACATACCGTAACATCGTAATTTGGTTTTTTGCGTTTCTCGTCATTCAAAATCATTTCTAAGAGTCTATAGAAAAGAGTTTGGCCTAAATAGAGTCTCTTTTTTCCAAAATCTGACGTAGCTTCATTCGCGTTTATACTTTTGTTATAGTTGGCACAAAACTGTTCTCCAAGCTCTTTGACTTTCGTCTCGACGAGCGTCTTTACATCTTGAGAACAACTATTTAAAATTTGTAATAAATTCTCGCTCGGCGATGTTTGACCTGCCAACATAGCTTGAAGCCGAATTACACTTTGTGTTGCGGCGGATACTGGTGTCACATTGGTAATATCTTTTGGTCTAAGGTAACTACGTCCAGTTAATGGAGTGGGTGGAACTAAATGTTGTATCTGCTGTAAACATACATTTTTTTAAAAATCACAAGACTTACAAAAAACGATAAATGTATATATATAATTATTTAAATACTTACTCCACTATATTGTTCCTTTTTCGTTTGAAACTGTTCGTGAAGATCACCAACATTCATGATCTGTGTAAGAGAACCAATATTATTACTGGCATCATGGCCTGAAATGAAATAAAATCATATGCAATATTTGTAGTATTCCACTTTGTATTCTGAATTTTTCGAATAAATTATATACAGCCTTCTGAATTTTTCGAATAAATTATATACAGCTATTTTTATTAAGCAATTTAAATGCATTCACGCCAAAGCATAATGCTATTTGCTATGAAGCTTCTTGCTTTTTCAGTGCAGCTTTCTATATACTGTAAACCTACCTCTCATGAAAATATGTTTAGATAATTTAGCATGATAAGCTATATCTCCTCCAACAATTTCCAAGCTTGATATTCCATTTAATCTCACTCTCCTCCAATCAGCTATACCACAATCAAGATAAAGCAAACACAAATTGATTAACAGTAAGAAATGAAAATTATCCAAAAAGACAAAATAAAAATTATCAAATATTCTGTCTTTTATTAAAAAATGCAACTCAAAAAAACATAAGCAAATCTATGACGTAACCTTGCCAATTTTGTACAAATAAGTACAGTAAATTTCTTAAAAAACTTTTTAACCCCGAAAATTCTTCACAATCTAATGGATCCTTCGAAACCGGCGATGAAAGTTTTTATTTTATTATTATACACACATCGTTCATTCTGATTAAAATAAGGTCAAACAATGTAACTATTTTTAGAATTGTCTTTTCTGAGAATTTTCCTATAATTGCCTTTTCATTTACTATCGGTTATTCTAAAAATTGTCTAATTTATGTTATATTTGAAATCATTTTAATCAGAAAAATGAATTAAAATAATGAATCATTTCTTAGTGAAAGACCAAAGAGCTAATTGTTCCTTTCACTCTCTTCTATTTTCTATCCTCAATATATAAGAAACCGCATTTGTATTTGAGACATGTATATACAAACAAAAATTTATAAATATTCTAAGCGTAAATAAAAATAATAAAATGTCAAATCGATGTCAAACATTAGATATTAAATATTAATTAAAAATTGAAATATAAGTTCTATGAAATTATTTTCTTAAATTTACAATTACAATTACAATTACAATTTACAAAAATCTACAATTTACAAATCTATGTTTATGAAAGTAAAAATGTATAAAACAAGCAAACAGGCATACAGCTAAGACCATCTTATTTACAAGCATTGTTGCCTTAGTAATAAGCAAGTTTACAAGCTAGTTGATCCATAAAAAAAATTAATTAGAGTAAAAGAAATTACCTAAGAAAATTCTTTCATCAAAGTCTCCAACGCTTAGTACATGTTGCTCATAAATTCTATTAATAGCTTTGCTATTACCATCAAAATATAAAGCTTCTAAAATACCGGAGAAATTTGACTGATCACCACGAAGAACTCTTTCATTGAATAATTTATTAATATGATTCTTCAAATAATATTCCTTAATTACTTTAGCTTCAACAGCAATAGCTTCATGACGTTCACATAACAAGCTAACTATGCAATTTGCTGTTTGTGGTGGAGTATAATTTTCATCACTAAAGTTTGATGGTAAACCTGCAAACAAATAATGTAAATAAAAATCAGTTGTTTCTATTTGAACTTACATGTATCATCAGCATATATTTACCAGGAAAATTGGGATTTAAAAGATCTTTTCTATTAGCCAATAAAGCATTACTATATATAAGATCACAACACACTAGGAGAAGGTGATAAGAATTGACCAAGTCATCAGAGATATCTGGAAATGCTCCTTTTATACAAATAAACAATGTCCAACAAAATTCAAAAACTCTTGTAGGTGTGCAAGGCATTGCTTTGTGTCTTCTAGATCTTGGTGGCCTTGAGATATCATCTACAGGATCTTTGAATATATCAGTAAAAATTGGCTGATACTTTTTGAATATAACCATTGACACTGCAAAGTTTCCCTCGAGCTTTTCAATCTTCGAGCGGAAATCTTGTGACATGTTGGCCATGTCAGCCCATGATTTACTTTTTGTAAAAAACTGTATCAATGGCAGATTACATAATTGCAACAAACGTGTTAATGAAACGCAATTGCCTTCCACATTAGTACCAGTCTTCCCAACAGTTGGTATAGAAGACTTACGGCAAGCTACATATAACGCACATCCTATCCAATGTAACTGATCACCCTAAAAAAAAATGAACGGAATTTTCATACATGCATAATAATATAAATACATAACAGTACATACTACTTCCAAATGTAAATCTTAAAAATCTTAATAAAATATAAATTTCAAAATATATATTACAAATAATAACAAATAAAAGTAAGGTATATTTGCAAGACATTGATAAACACAATGATACATAAAATTCATGTCAATTTATGAACAGTACAAGATCAAATTGTGGTAGTTATGAATCAGGTACTTCCATAAATTGATCATTGGTATGTTCACATAAAAGTGCTTTTCATATTAGTCAGTATAAGCAGCGAAGCATTCCATCTTATTATTTTAAATTGGTGCGCTTTAATCGGTTAAGTAAAGCAAGCCGCGAATTCAACAATGTTAAACATTGAACAGAAGACTCGAACAGTTTGTACATTATAGATAAACTATCTCCATATAAGAATACATTTTCGATCTATGGACAGAGAACAAAGAAATCGCGTTTCTTAATCTTAAACAATTAACAAAACGCAGAATGACCGAGGTGACGAACAATTCGAAAAATACCTCAAGAGTATAATTTTGACGAATAATTTCGTAAGATTTCCAAGCTTCAGACGCAGCAGTTGCATCCATATTCAATTTCTGACACAAATCTTGGTGTCTACTGTAAGTAGAATCCTCCACGTCGTCCGATTGACCCATTTTCGTTGAAAAGCTCAAAGAAAATCACTGAAAAAACGCGTTTAATTTACACTGGTACATAAGCGAGATGCGCCATACGAGACATCCGCAAGGGCTTGGCGGGAAACGACACGAGCTCCGCCATATTTGCCATGTTGGCGGGAAATGTAGAATGTCAATTACAAGAAAAAAATCCTTAGGTCGATTTTGCACAGGGGTTTCGTATGTTTCACAGCTAATTTATTAACTCGAGACAACGTATTTTACGCCACGTTTTTCGAATTGCGGAAAGAACGAAAAGTTTCTATCCATCGAGCTTTTATCCATTAAATGCTTTTCGCGACAATGGAGCCAAAATGGGCGGCAAAATCCTCTGGCGGGATCTCCCTGATTTTAAAAGACTATTTCGCGTAATTTGTTATTTATAAAAATGTTGCCTCACGTGCAATTAATAAAATGACTAATATCGTTTTGCACGCTGGATTATTCGAGCGTAGAATCTACGCAATTTTTGTTACGATACTTTGTACCGTCCAATCAAAAGTCCAAATCTCTCCCATCGCGATTTGAAATATTGTCTTCTCATTGGTCTTCCACGATGGTGTATATATCTCTATTTATTTGCATTGCTCACTGAGAGATATCTCACGAAAAATGAATTATTTACTATTCCCGTTTGTATTGTTTGTTGCCGTTGAGAATATTTGTTCCTATCTGTTAATTACAAACCGTAAAACATAAATTTTAAGTTAATTTGAGAGTTATTGAATATAAGTTTTTTATATTAACATCGCTCTTTGAATTTCAGTTTTGTTATCTCGTATTTTCAGAGTCTGCCGATATATAACTCGAAAACTCGTCGGTGAAAAAAAATGCACGGCATTAAATTCGAGACAGACGATGTTAACAGAGCTACAAAGCGCTTTCTATGTCGATGGCGCTTTCATGGTATAAATATGTAAATACAATATGGCCGATAGGAGCGGAACTCTGCGAGTTTTTCCGAGTGGCATTTTGCCAATGGATTGAGAAACAGTAGGATTTGCAAACTCGACTGAATTTTTCGCGCACGGAAATTCCTTGAACGACATGGATTAAGCAATATTTTCCGAATCGTTCAAGTTTCGTTCGCACCGAAATGTCAATAAGGTGCTGTTATTGAGGAATGTTTATTTCTCTTCAGAGACAAAGCGATCGTTTTGATGAACATTTCCCGCACAATATGAAGTAAAACCTGGAGAACCCGATACAGTGCTGTAGTGGGATTGCATTCGATTAGCTGATATTTTGATCAACGATGTACACAGTATAGGTACTGTCATGGACACAGATGTAGAACTTGCCAAAGGTGAAGGGTGTGAAACTAGTCCAGGCTGCTCTGGCTATTCTAGCATGGTGCACAGTAAAAAAGTCATCAAACATGCACTACGACAGCAGGCCAAGAGGCGTAGGAAAAATACAACAATTGCAGCTGGCAATTCTCGTACTCTTCCAAGAATTGTCGTTAAACCACTACCTCCACCACCACCGAACGATCCACCTTCCCCTGTTAATAATGTACAGCACATCAATGCTAGTAAGCCAAATATATCTACCAAATATATTTACTATCAAATGCAAGCAAATAATATCACAGAATTGCATTAATTCATTAATTCATTGTTATGTATGTTAATGTAATGTTATTTAAATATAGCAACTGAAGAACCTGCTGCCACAATGAGAGAAGTCCTAGCAAGTTTGCCAGGGTTTAGTTTGAAATCTGGACGTAGACGATCAACAAAACGATTATCGGCGACTGCACAACTGGAGGCTGGTCTTGTAGATCTTGAGTCCCCAGCGAGTATTTTAGCAAGCACAAGTTTACGTGCTCTTTTGAATAGGCATACTTTTCAAGGTCTGCCACCTTTGTATCAAAGGAAACTTGCACAACTTTTGCCTGCTGTAGATAGACAGGTGATTTTAACAGCATGACATTCATATTTATTTATTTTCGGAAATATTTAAAGTTGTATATTTTCTATAAAACTACATTTTATTTGTTACTCTCAGGATGCTGCTACATCTGGATTAAATAACGAATTCTTTGCGCGAGCTTGCTTAGAATGGCGTAAACGCTTGGCAGAAGGAGAGTTTACTCCGGAGAATCAACAAAGATTGAAAATGGAGGCAGAGAGAGACAAGAATAAATTGGATCCGTGGAAAGTCAAGCATTTTGAACCTATATGGGGTGAGAAGCGTGAACCTAAACTTAGGTCAGGTCTTCATTGTATTACGGAATCAAGATCTGGCGGAGCTGTAACGCGTTCGAGTTTAAGACTTCGTTTAGAATCTAATGTAGATACACCTATATCGGATACTCCCTGTCCTATTATGTCCGAAGAACTTAAAATCGAAGAGGATAACTGTAAAATTGAAACTAGTATAAGTAATTCAGACGATTTGAATGAAACAACAGAGATACAAGAGTTATTACCAACAGAATATAACGAAACAACGCATACATTAATCGATGAAAAACATATAGAATCTGTAAACATAAACTCTGTAGAAACAATAGGTGATACTGAAATGCATCAGGACAAATTTGAGGAAGATGAGAAAGTTATTAGTCTTGCAGAAAAACAAGACATGATTGAAGAGAATGAAGTAGTAAGTCAGGTCTGCCAAGAAAATATTTCAAACGCATACGACGAAGAAATTCATATACCTCAAGATGAAAAGAATCTTGAATCAATGGAGAACCATATCCTTGAAGTATCTGAAGAAGATACGGTACTCTTACCGGAAGAAAGTACTTCACCAAGATCCAGCGAACAAACAGAACAAATGTCTCATACATCTAGGGAAACATCATCCCAATTGTCAACAGAATGTACATCTCAAACTTCAGTAGATCAAGTACCTCAAATTTCAAAAGAGCAAATATCCCAAATGTTGGAAGAACAAATTTATCCAATATCTGATTGTGAGACTACAACTATGCTTGAAACATCGCCATCGCACGAACAAATTAGATCAACTGAAATTGTTATGGATGATTCTACGCTAATGAATAGTAATCAAAATGAGACAACACAGGTTTCTCACGAAAATGCAACAGACGGTGAATCACAAATTCCTGAAGGAATGGAAATCGACAGTGAAACGTTACAACGTATTCACGAGTTGGAGGTGATAATTTATATCGTTTGTAAAGATTCACAGCCTGAAATTAGCAAGTTTCATTAAAAAACAAATGCGATACACCTCTTTTAGGTAAGGGGAGAAATGCGCGAAGCGTACGAAGAGATTTCAAGATGCTCCGAAGAAATAATATATCCTATTCTTGACGGTATGGAAATGGGAACAAGTAATACCGAAGAAACTGAAACACAGGTAGTCTCGGGACGGGCGGAGACTACCAGAGAGCAGCAAGATGTAAATAGTGGGAATGAAGACGAAGCCCTTCGAGAAGCAAATAACTACGTTTGTTCTGAAATGTTAGAATGTAGTTGGTCGGTAGATCCCACGGTTAATAACATTAACAATAATAATAGGGTAAGCGATAGAAACTTCTAATATCTTCATATCGTATATTTATGTATTATATGTATTATCCATTCATATATTTTTATATTGAGACAAGTTAATTTTATTTCATGAAGACTCAGGAAGAGCTTCAAGTACCATGGCCACTAGTAGCTGCAGCTCTTGATGGATCTGTAGCCACTAACATAACGGTGACCACTCAAGACGAATGCAATGAGACACCTACTTCCACTGATTCGACTAATCCACCGCAACAATTTATCAATGCCGATTCCAATGTAGAATCGGTTAACTGTATACAGTTGCCAGTTGTTCAGGGAACTCAGTTTCAGTCAGAGGGTCTTGCAATTGGTACACCAGGAACGAGTTGCATAATGAAAAATTTCCAGTCTCAGAGCTCGCCTATTATTGCCTTTCCGCAACTGCAGTCTATCAGATTTGTACAAACTAGCTTTCATTCCGATCAAAACACTGCATCGACTTTGAACAACACGTCCCCAATTACTGCTCAAATCCAGAATCAACAGAATACAACCTCGCAAGTAAATATAATGAGAACGCAAGAAGAAGTGGTACAACTAAATACACAAAATAACAATGCACGGAATATCAGAAATAACGTGAACCAAAATCAAGTCCCAAATACCGTGACAGCCGCGATCGGTATACAACCCCCAAATCGTGCACAAAATACTATCGTTATTCAACACCAAGCCTCAGCACCTACACAACCACGACAAGTCGTAGCAACCATACAACAACATCAGTATCCTGGAGCGACGGTTGCTGTGTCTTCAAGATCTTCGCGTTCTAATAATCAGGGTAGTCAGAGAGGTTCCAGGAATAGTAACAAAGAACAAGGAGGAGGTAGATCACGCAGTACTACGAAAGAACCACCTGGTGCAGTTAATTTGGAACGCAGCTATCAGATATGTCAAGCGGTAAATTTTTAAACAGATCCAATTTCATTTGAGTTTAATTTTTATTTTATAAAATGAAAATGCGTGTCATTTTGCGCTGTTTTAGGTGATACAAAGTTCGCCAAATAGAGATCAACTGAAGGCTCACTTGAAACCTCCGCCTAGTTTACTTGCCAGAGGTGATGGTGCATTCACGACGAATAAATCGGGTGGCCGTACAATTACGACTGTCAAAACTCAGAAGCCATCGCAGACAATACAAAATAAACAAACTCAAAATAAAACGCAAGCGGTTATGTTCAGACATGTGTTTGCAACAGCGCGTCAAGCTGCTTCAACAGAGGTATGATATATTTCTTGCAAAAATTGCGCGATGGTAGTTTATACATACATTTTTTTTTTTATTTTATTCTGAAAAAGGAAGGATGCATTGTTTGTGCAATTTAGTTTTATTTGTAATTGATTTGTTGTTGCGCATAAATTAAAAAATATCCATAAAATATAACTTGACTAGAATATGTTTCAAAATTGATGGACAATTTATTTCTGTTTGTTTAATCTTACAATCTATATCTGGAACAATCGCATACCAAGTAGAAGCTCAAGCTTTGTATCATGTATTATTTCATATTTTTCTGTGTGTACAGTGCTAATCTTGCTGGTGGCTGTGATGATCACTGTATCATACAGGTACCTAAACAAATAAATCTACTCTACTAGAATCAAGTTTCTAAAAGTAGTGGAGAAACAATTGTGATACTCTCACAATAAGCAACAATCAAACAGAAATTCTAAGATCTATTTTACAGAGTGATTCTATTACAGAGTTTAAAAATAGGTAGAACGAAGATGTAAAAGAAAATAAAAATATATTTATGACCGACCAATTGCAATTATAGCTCCAACGGAAGGAAAATATTATAAATTTAAATTATTAAAATATTATAAATTTAAAATTACAAAAATTGCTTAATGATTAAACAATATTTTTTAGGTTCCAGAAAGCAATACCGTAGCGCAGTTAGGATCCACGACAACAGGTGGATTGGGTCAATATATACTGGTTCAGAGAACGGGCGTCGGCGACAGTGCACCAAGAGCATCTTCTGCTCCACCTTTGCCTCCTCAAATTGCCGGGATGGGTGTTGGAGTACATCTAGTACGTGGTAGACCAGCCAGTGCAGGAGAAGGTTCGCACCAGGCTGTAACATTGAAAGGAAGAGGCACGGATGGTAGAGGAGGAGGTGGCGCTGAACCCGGAGCACCTGGTATGATCATGGGTGGAGATCCACCACCTCCCTGCGAATGTAACATGCGAGGTGCTATGGTAATATGCCGGCAATGTGGCGCGTTTTGTCACGATGACTGTATTGGGCCTCAACGTATTTGTGCTACCTGTCTGATACGTTAATCATTGTTTAACGATTGTTTCTGTATAAATTTAAAAAAAAAAAAGAAAAAAAGACCGCGCTACCGGAGTGCTGAGTATCAAATCACGAATAAGCATGTTATTTTGAATGGAGTCTATCGAAAATTATATATTGCATGAATTTAAAAATAAAACTGGAAGACTTCGCAGGGGCAACCGAATTTGTTGTTCAGCACTTTAATGTAAGTGGTGGTTCATGGGGAGAATTAATGAGTACAGTTGCAAACATATTTAATTTTGGACTTCTCTGTGATTACTTTTTTCAGTATTAATTTGCGGTTGCATGGGCTCAAAACGTTTCTCTTATTATCCCTTGTATTTTAACGTTTTATCTTTTATGACAATGGACAATTTTCGTCAAGATTTTAATAGAATAATTTTTTCTTTTGTAAAAATAATTTTTTTTTACTGATTTCTACATTGATTTTAATTGATGATTGTATATAGTGTTAATTGACAATTTAAATTATTGAAATATTGCAACTGTATTCTTTGCAAGTCTCATCAAAGAGAATAACAAAAATATAAATCTCTTATAGTCTGACTTTAATACCGTCTTCCAGTAAGCATCACATTTTTCAACGTGCGTCTGTACTATTTATTTATTAACAGAAATTTAAGTTTATTCTTATTACCTAGAAGATATTCCTGTACATGTTGATCTCAATTTTTACTAAAGAAAGTCAGAGACTTATTCTTATATGCTCTCTCGCAATCATTTTTCTTAACATAGCTCTTTAAGTACGAGAACGAACGTTTTCATTCATCGTAGAACAGTTACTACAACGGAACATCTTGTACAGGAATGTTGCTTAAGAACGAACTATTGATGATTGATATTATTAATCTATTGCAGTGGTGAAATCTTTTTAGATGAATGTAGTATCTACATATTTTAGCTTTTACCTCTTTACTTCGTTGTAAACAATTTTCTAGAATAAATATCGAGTATATT